TTTACAATTTATTTCGCTGATTAATATATAACTCAGCTTCCGATTCGTGTAACCGAAACAAAAAGAATCACTTGATCAGCATTTCTATACCATAAAAAGGGCGATCTACATTGCCCATTTTTGGTAATGTGCCCGACTGGAATAACGAAATGAGTATTTATTTACAATCATTTGACTTAGTGTGACACTAAATTTTTAAAGGAAATATACACTACAGTTGTGTAATTATTATTACAAACGTTACACATGTTTTTTTAAACTAATTTTTTTTTATGCGCTACAAAATAAATAAAAAATAAAAAATAAATTAATAAACGAATTTTTTAAACAAAATTTTTAAACGAAATTTTTTAAACGAAATTTTTTAAAGTTCTTGTAATAAAATGTCTTAATGAAGCCTAGCATAATTTAAAATTTTATCTTTAACCATTAGTATAATTATTTGTCGGCTACATTTGTATTCCAACAACGATGCCTCTTCTTGAAGCATATATTTCTGAATACGATCAGACCTTCCTAAATGCAGTTCATAGGATCAACCTTTTGACAATGTGCATTTAGAGAACAATAAAGGAAACTGCATTTAAAAGGTCAAGTGTATATTTAAGCCAGCATTTAAGGTTGCATTTAGAAAGGTGCTGCACTTAAGGGGTTGCATTTAAGGAGAGTGCATTTAGGGTTTGACTGTATATCATGTGCATTGGCCACAGCACCAAAAATCCATGTCATCGTCAACCTTTCTATGACCATTCTTGAAAAGCTTTGTTAATTTCTATAAAAAAAAAAATAGATTAATGATTAAAAATTTTCAGTATCCAAGGATAAAAAATCATTAATAAAACTAACTTTAAAACAGAATCTCTTCTTCCTTTCTAACTTTTTAATCAATCGTTGTTTCGTCGTTAATTTCATTTCCCGATGTATAAAAATGGCCATTTGATCATTTGGACACCAAATTATTACAACATCTTCATCGTAATGGTAATGGAAATCCACATCTTCAAATTCTATGTGAGTGGTTGATTTTGAAACGAGAGTTCTTTTGAACATTTTTTTTTGTTTTTCAGTTCAGATATATTTAAAGCAGATATATTTAAAGCACTTAAATATATATATGCTTATTAGTTAATGTGATGTGAATTTTAATTATTCAAGGAAGAACATAACCATCAAGGTTAATGTAGCTTCCACGAACAAAATTAAATAATGGGTTAAATTTTCTGATGGGGAAATAAATGGATATTATATAAATTACTGGAATCCTTTAAATTTTTTTGGTATTTAATAAAGTAACGATAAATTTTACTGTTGACAATGTGTACGACAGTTTTTTGATTTTCTTTACGCCTCGCATTAATATTTTATTGCACCTTTTTAGTAATTGTTTTTATCGCACCCTATTGCAGTCGCATTTTCTGATCGGCCAATAGAATCACAGTATTAGGCGGAACGTGAAATTTCACGTTACATCCGATACCATGATTTTATTGGCCGTCAGGGAGACGGACAACAATTATAATAATTAAAGGTAATCATTTTGTTCATGAAAAGTTTTTCGCATATGCACTGCAGATACGTATATTTTGAGAATGTATTGTTTCTTTGTTTAATGTTTTTTCTTTATTAATTTATGTTATTATATACGTGAAACACTAACCACCTTATGGTGCGACCGTTTAAGCCAATTTTTAATGGTAACACAGTTTCAATATAGCTCCCTGAACTATGTCAATAAGTTGGGCATTCGATCGTAAATTTGTGCAAATCAGACATAGCATTTTATGATGCAGGGTTGAATTGGAGACAATGCAAAAAAATATTGAATTAAGAACATTCCGCTTTTTTGCCTAAATATGTAATTTGAAACAATAAATGCTTAATGTTAAGAGTGTTAAGCCAGCTACTCTACTGGTGTATGTTGTGCTCAGAAATTATGCTTTTTGGGCGAAATAAAAACTTCAAGTCTAAATACAACTTCAAGTCTAAATACAAATTGCAAAATTGCTTTACAGTGTACACTTGTTTTACGAGAAGCAGAATAAATGGTTGTTAGGATTAAAGTTAGAGCTAGTATTAATGTTAAGGTTATTCATTAAAATTATTAAAATTTTACTTGTAGCATTTTTGTTTGAACATAAATGACAATTTTTCAACTTATAAGCGTTTCTTAACAAAATGTGCTGTGCATGTGTAACGTATACAAGACTCAGATCGAAATTTATAGTAGGCCCGTGTCTAGTATAAAGCTAAAGTTTATATAATAGGAGAAATTTTTTAAAGAGCACGCACACTTTAATTTATAATAGGCAGTCAAGGTATTTGTAAAAAAGCCCATTTGATTAATATAGATGCTAGGGATAGAGATGAAACCAATTTACCTGTACGAACGGTGATCCGAATTACTAATTATGCTAATTATGTGAGTTATCCGTTATCAGTCATGCAGTTCAAGTCGTGATTGCCTAACTGAATCTTAATTTGAGTTATTTTGTTGTCATAACACAAAAGAGATAAAATCCATGATCGTAAGTTTTCTGCATGGTAAATTCTATTGATTTTTTAGTTATCCGATTATCGGTCGGATAAATCTATTGGATTATTCATGCAACTTATTTGTCACCTCTTACGAAATGTGTAAATTTGTATATTTATATTAGAGTGGCCGAATAAGTTGCATGAATGACCATCTAAGACATGTCGGATAAATTAGTTATCAGTCAATTCGGTAAATAATAACTGATTACTCCACAACGAATACTGGCTACCTTCTGCTAACGTCATAAGCACTGTATCCTGGTGAATAATCAACTCTCATCAACCTGACAGATAACTATTACTTACAATATCAATATCAAATGTGACGTACGTACGTACGTACCATAAATCACCGTATATGAATTCCCACGATAGTAACATCACTATGCACGTATGTACCATAATTAATAGCAGAGACCGCTAATGTTACACATATATTAAAACTGGTGAGGGATTATATCCATCACAATTGAATCCAATATAAATAATTTGATTTGTGATTGATCACAGGAGAGTGAGATTCACTCTGGATCGGGCTGTTACCATAATTGGGTGCAAACCAATGTATCTGTTAGGAATGAGCACTGCGCAGG